TTCAGCAGCTGCCTCCGCTAATTACTACAAAGAGATAAATATTTTCCTCTGAAGGGAGAGAGAGACACACAGAGAGGAAGAGAGATGTCGTCCTCTCAGGGAGAGAGGGAGGGAGAGGAAAACTATATAAAAAGGTGGTGGTTTCCAATCTCGGATCTGTGAGGCTGATCCACCAGCCCACGCTCAGGCCCGCTATCCCTCCGCTGCCCGGATCGGGAAGTTTTCGCTGCTCGGTTTCCCGCCTCGCGCATTCTCCCCCTCTTCAGCACCCGCGCGCCATCTCCCTTCGGAGAAGACGCACTAGCGAATCCAGGCTCGGAGCGGGCAAGCCATCGACACGCAGCGATGGGACCCCGCAGGAGAAATCCGATTCACACCACCATGCCCCCGTTAAGCTCGGGCTACAGGACGTCGCGACTCATCCCGGCGATAAGAAAGATGATAGGAGAAGTAAATATAGAGGGACGATCATGCTGCTCGTTGCAGTTATGGGCATCGTTCTCCTAGGAGCAACACTCCCTTGCTGGTGGTGGTGTCCTTTTTGGCGCGTCTGCCTGAAAGTCTGGCTCCCTCGCTTCTTTCTTTGCTTTCGGAAAGTTATCTACTTTTTGGCAAAGGCAACCCCCACGTCTGTCTTTGTCTTTTTTTTTTTTTTTTTCGTCATATTATTTCGCACACGTACTACACCCACCTATTTACAACACCAACCTCTTTTTTTTTTTTTTTTTTTTTTTTTTTAAACCAACCACTTTTTGACGTTATGTTTGGGGAGCGCAGCGAAACGTGCAGGTCCTTGCCTTCGATAAACCGCGAAATATGACAGCGCAGCAGCCGAAGTACCATCGCAGAGGGCGCAGTTGCAAACAAACAGACAGTAAAGCAAAAGAGGAAAGCAGAAAATCGACAGTGCGATGTGGCTGAAGTGTACAGTAAACGCAGGAACTGAACTGTTGTTTATGGGCGTCGCCACACCACTCGAGAAATGTGTAAATTGAGAATGAACTTCCCGCTAGAACATGGCCAGATGCGCCCGCCAAATGTTTGTCTTTTGCACTTTTGGAGAGTGGTGTGGCGAGGGCCTATAAAGAGACCTTCAGTTCAAACCCGCTGAAAAAAAGTAATCAGGTGAGGAAAGATTACTCTCCTTTCCCCCCCCCCAAAAAAAAAAAAAAAAAAAAAAAAAAAAAAAAAAAAAGATTACTCCCACGTACTGGGTCCGTCAGTGTTCGGAGAATGCGACGCTGTCGCCCTTAGTGAACACAGAAAAGACGAAAACAAACTGCAATTCCAAAAAGAAAGACGAAAACAAAATGCAATTCGAAAAAGATGAACGGCTCTCCCACGTATCGAAATGAAATTCAATATCAGCCCCGAAGAGGGGAAAAAAAATAAATAATAAATAAATAAAAAAAAATCACGAGATTCACTATGTTGGCCTGGATGCACTACACAAATATGAGAGAATGTGAAGACATTCGTAGCGAAGTTGAGCTCAGGTTTTCGGGACTGAGGGCATCGTCACACTTATACTTTTCCTGATGTATCTGACCCCAATAACAGCCAGATCTGAATGCATCTAATCGGAATTGCGCTCAGTTCAAAAAGTCAATATAATGTGAGTATGCCCTGAATGGTACCGTAATTGCCGTCCTATACATGTTTGAAAACCTATCCCGAGTATGGCATCCCCCGTCTGGTGTGAGTGAGCATATGGACGTCATGCCAACCGAGCCTACCTTCTTCCTCCGAATACAACGTACGGTCATTATAGCTGTATGTAGACTGAAAGATGCCTCAAATACAGCTATAATGGCCGTACGTTGAATTCGGGGGAAAGCAACCCTCAGGACCTCGCCCTACTTCTCACCAGATGTGCAAAATGTACAATGTATAAAATGCTAGAAAGATACGTCCACCATAGCTTTTGTCTTTTCATACTTTCCAACGCTGAGTGGCAGCGCAAAGCCCTAAGGGCATACTCTTACACATGGCCCTAATATTTTTTGCAAGATTTGTGGGGGTCTGCTAGCCTGGTTTTTGGGGTGGTGGTCCCCACTGACTTATTGACTTGCGGGATTTCCCCGAAGTAGACAACGCTCCACTGCAGATTCACGAGGCACGCTCAGTACTTTTCCATGCTTTTCTGTTGTTTTTTTTTTTCTAACCACTAGTACCTCCGAGCCTGTTTTTGCTGACCCTGATTTA